CACACACACATACATACACACACACACACACATACACACACACACACACACACACACACAGTAGTGGACCTCTGGTTGGCCTGTGAGACCAGCCCCTTGGCCTGTTCTCACAGGCCTGTGTTGTATTCGGGGTTGTCCAGGCCAATCCGGTACCTCTGTCGGTACCAGCCAGTCCAGTCCAGTCCCGTTAGTCCGCTGGGGTATACCCCAGCTGTTGTCTGTTTTCTGTTCATTCCACATTCACATAGTTTGGAGTACGTGCGTCGGAGTCTGGTGTGGGAGCTCTGCTGTGCTATCTCGCTCCCCCTTCTTCCTCCATCTCCATCTCTATCTCTAGCGGAACACCACACCTGGTGGGTCCGCCACATTGGTATCGGAGTGGGAACGTTCCCCGCTCCCACCCACCACCCCGTACAACTGGGAAAACAGCAAAACCCGACAGGCGGTTTTTTGGCTGTTTTCAGACCCTTTTTCAACGAAAACGAGGGAGAAAAAAAACGCCGCAGCAGGAAGTGACACATAGTGGAAAAAGCACGTGCCATCACGAGCGCGCGCCACACGCCCACGCTGCCCGCTGCCCCGCCCCGCCCCGCTCCTGAATTTATATTATCAAGATCCGGGATTTGGCTACCGCTAGGGTTTGAACCCAGGCACCTGCTGGGCTTGCGCCTGTGTAAGCTACTCCTGTAACACACTCGCCAAACATGTATGGTTTTGTAGTGTGGCACGCTGCTGTTGAAGAGGTGCGTGCTAGCTATTTACTCCCCYCCCCCCCCCCCGGGCCGGTGAGCAGCGAGGAGCAGGGCAACAACGACCGGGCCGCTATTTGTCCCCCCCCCCCAACGCGACTGCTGCTGCCTGCGCACGTGGCCATCTGCAGTGCCACGTGGTAGCCTGCTGTGGAGACTGAAGACCCCCCTGGCTAGGGGGCTGCGCCACATTATTTTTTTACTATTTTTCTACTGCTGCAGCAGCAGTTTTGCAGCAGCTCAAGATTCCCCCCTGCCTAGGAGGATGTGTGACTGTGGCTGTAGGGTGGCTGATCAAGATCTCAACCAACCCTAGATCATCATCATCGTCCTGTTATCATGATTGCTGCGGCATCAGGCCAGCAGCACCTTGAAGGCCACATTCCTGTGGATCTTGGTAGTGCTTTGCTCTTGGCCAGCCAAGAGCCTGGTATTATCTCTCTCCACTAACCTACCCCTGTCTCTTATACACATCTAGATGTGTATAAGCATCATCTAATCATCCTTTCTAACTCTACCACTACCCCCCCTCCTCCCACCTCCCTCTTCACTCATCTCCCACCACTTTTTTCTCTCCTCCCCACTCACCATCTTCTACTAATCTCATCTCCCCCATTTCCCACTTCACTCTTTCTCTCTCTCTCTTCGATTTTTTTCTGTTTTTTTTTCTTTTCTCTTTCTTTTTTATTACAATCTTTCCTTTTCTCCCAAAGTTTGAATTATCTTATTCCCCCCCCCCCTTTCCTCTCTCATTTTCTGATTTATTTTATTTTCTTTCTATTTATTATGAAAATTCGAATTTCCTTGTGGCACCCTTAAATCTGACTAGGAGTTGGTCTTTCTTGCTTTCGGCACACATTTTACCCCGTGGGGGTAACGAAGTGCTGTCGAAGTTTTCTGTTTTCTCTTTCACTTAGTTTTTTTTGGCGCACTTCGACCCCATGGAGGTAACGAAATGCTGCCGAAATTTTTGAAAAATCAGATACTTCATTTCTCTCCACCTCCTCATCTACTTATTTATTTATTTATTTATTTATTATTTTTTTTATTTATCTTCTGAAATTTTTAACTTGCGGCTTTTTGAAACCTAGTGTGCTTATCTTGGTCTCTCTTTTCCCCTTGGCACATTCTGGACCCCATAGGGGATAGGGAAATGCTGCCGAAAATTCTAAAAAGAATAAATATTATTTCTCTCTTCATATTTTGTTTCCTTATTTTTTTAATTATTTTTATTATTTATTTATTTTCTTATTTATTTTTATTTTTCTCTCAAAATTTCGCTGTTTATTTATTTTTCTCCCACCTTCCCCCCCTATGCTTGCTATTTTATTTTCTTGATTAGGTCACCGTACCCTACCCTAACCACTCAAACTCCGATTAGGGTTTTCTTAGGGTTTTTCTAGGGTTTAGGGTTTTCCTAACCCCCCTCCTTTCCCTCCTCATTCGGCCACTCTGATCCGAACCACCCTTGCCATTTTGACGACGTTCGCGCTCGATTTACTAGTGTCGCCCGTCGACTTCTTATCGCAGCACTCCCCCTACGCCCTCCACTCACGCGGACCTCCTCCGACCCTCTTTAGTCTGGCCCGTTACCTCCCAATGGTCGACGACATGTCACAAGCCGCCGAGGCGGTGACGACCTTGGCATCGGGCTCCACGCCCGTGTCGATGGACCAGGGCCATCAGCCCCAGGGGGATCTGCAGACCCTCATCACCTCCCTCCTTGCGGCCTTATAGGTGCAGATGGCGACTCTTGCCGCTGATATGCGACAACTCAAGGACGCTGGTCGTCCTTCCTCTCCCCACTCTCTCTCTTCTTTTGGCTCCCAGTCCAGGTCCCCCGCCCTCCGACATGGTAACCACGGCGGAGCTTCCTCCTATGCCGCCCCTGACCCGACCATCCTGGTGACCGTCCATGCTCCTAGCACGACGGCCGCCACGGGGCAGACCCTCCCCAAGTCTACGGGCGCACCCGCCCAGATTCCGGTTACTACGCATAGGACCACAACCCGCTACCATGGTCTCAACTTTTCCGGGTGCCCCGCTTCTCCCTTCCCTTCGCACGACCTCAACGCCACCTGGCTCTCCCCCCTACTGGATGCCCCGCGCCGCTCGTGCGTCTACTTCCCCCACTCTTCCTCCTGCCACTCCTCGCTCGATCTACGCCAAACGTCTCGAGGATAAGCTTGGCCAGACCCGGACCGACCTCGCCCTCTTACGCCTTCAGCCACCCCCATGCTCACAGGTGGCCGCGCCTTCGGGCGCACCCCCTTCTTTCTCTACTCTTTCATTCTTGTCGGCTTGCTTTCCTTGCCCTGCACCTCCTTCACCCCCATCCTACCACCTTCATACTCCCTCAGCGGTTGTGACCTCTTCTACCGCAGCTCCCTCGCAGCATGCCGCTGTTCCCCCCGCCACTCCACCATGCGACCCGGGCGGACAGTCAGTTGCACCCGCTTCTCCAGGACCTGCGCCGACTTACTCAGCCGTAGCGCAGGCCTCTGCTCCCCGCTCTCCTTGCCGCCAAAACGGTGGCGCACCACTCGTCCGCTTGACGGACATTGCCTTGTATGATGGTATAGGCATACGAGTGTCTCGGTGGCTATAGTCTGCCACCCGCACCCTCCAGCTCATGGGCGCGCCACCTGACACGTGGGTGGCTCACCTCTCCACGCACCTGCGTGGCGGTCCTTTCGATGCCTGGGAGGATTTTTATGCCTACTCCCTTCGTGGGGGTCGGACTCCGACCTTCGTAGAGTTCCAGGCGTTCCTCGAGGATCGCTTCGGAGCCCGACATGACGTGACTGATGCCTTTGAGCGTGTCGTCACTACGCGCTGGTCCGGCTCTGGTGGAGCTGCCGACCTGGATCGCCACATCCAGATCGCCACATCCAGGTTTTTCAGGACGCCCGCGTCATTTGTGATGTGGCGTTCCTTCCCGAGGCTGCCCTTATCGATCATTTCTTGGCCAGCCTTCCGCTCGAGTATCGCTCTGAGTTATGGCGGTACGAGTTTACATCGGCCCCGCAGGCTTACGAGGCTGCCAAAGACCATCAACGGATGCGGGTCCGTCTTCAACACACTTCCTCCTCCCAGCCTTAGCATACTGGTTACGCCCCCTCCTCCTCTCACGGCACTTCCCAGCGTCGTTCCCCTTTTCGTGGTCGCCCCCGCCGTTCCGCGCAGCTGGGCCGCCACTTCT